CAAAAACAGGTCTTAATCAGCCAATTCACCCTCCAAAAGAGCTCAGGTATACTTACAAAGATCGTGCTTGCGTGCGATGTACCTGATAATAGCATTACTCTGTGTCAATTTGGTCTTGCCATCAATTAAGTATGGAAGCTGGAAAGTAAACAGAATGAACTGCTTAAGAACACATCTTTGCCCTGTTAGGTTTTCACATGATTGCTCTCTATCTAATTGTCCTTCAGCATTATGGAAAGATATTCTTCCCAACTATTATACATACAGTTACTTACATTAGGGAAGTCCAGCCCCAATTTTTCTTTTTCATTGATCCATTGACTTTTATCATAATCCGGAGCTGGTAGAAAATGGGAGATAGAAAGTTCAGACAGCCAGAAAATTTAAATAAGATATAAACTGCTGACCTTTCACTAGACAAAGCAATCCATTTTAGGAAATGCCAAAAAGTGCATGCTTCTTCTGACCCAGTTATAGCAAGTACCATATCAAATGCTGGCAAGTTTACCTCTGTCATTTAATGACTGGTTGCATGATAAGCATAGCTTGGCTGCTGAATTAATCCAATTTTTGAAGTTTGTCCATTGCACTGAACTATAAAGTAACTAAATGGGCTAGGTTTATAGAACACATCAAATCACAAAACAAAAATTAACAGAGGTGAGCAAGACAAGCTTAGCATGCTGTTATTTCAAGGAAACAATTTGGCAAGATCAAGCCACATGAAGAAATCATTCTCCCCACTTACAGCAAAATATAGAGCTTAGGCCAGAGATATTTTTATTGGGTATCCTTCCAAAAAAATATAAAAAAGAAGATACATATTTGATTATGCATGTAACTACGGCAGCGAGAATTCTATTTGCACAGAATTGGAAATCAGGTAAGATACCAACAGAAGAAGAGATAATAATAAAAATTTTAGATTGTGCAGGTTAACTTTGAGAATAAAGTATAAAGAGGAATCGGCGTACTTCAAGACATGGGGAAGATTTTATGATTGGTTAGAGAAAAGAATTTAGAAAAGAAAGCAAGAGAGAGATATAGAACTCAAATAAGACACTATTAAATGGAAAGGGGGGAAGAGGGTGGGAAATGGAAAAGAAAGTATTAATATATAAGTATATGTTCAAGAATGAGATATAGAGAAAAAAATAGTTAGGACATGATAATGAAGAAAAGGGAATAGGAAAGGATAAGTATAAAATTATAACAGGGTTTGCAGGAAAACCATCCTGAAAATACACCAGCTTAGAGTTGAAAAGAGATAACCACAACAACAGAAAAGGAAAGGAAAAAAGGATGAGAGGAGAGAGGAAAGGGAAGGAAGAAAGAGGAAAGGAGAGGAAGGAAGGAAGGGATAGAAAGAGAAGGAGAGAGTAGGAGGGGGAAAAGGAAGAGAGGCGCAGGGGAGAGGTAAGGGAAGAAGGAAAGGGAGAGGAGAGGAGGAAGGAGGAAAGGAGAGAAGGGAGGGAGGGTGAAAAGAAAAGAAAAAATAGAGTTGTGTATGGGATGGCAAGCAAAGCAACCCAGAATGTATATTTTAACCTTTTATATGGAAAAACAAATATGTAAAAATAATAAAGATAAATAAGAACAATATGTTCTTATGCCGCCCCGAGTCCTTCGTGAGTGGGTGGCATACAAAACCAATAAACTAACTAAACTAACTAACTATGAGAATGTATACCTGTAACTATATATAAGAGAATAATAATTTAAAAACTTTTTTAAAAAAAGAAATCATCCTCTCCATCTGAATAAATGGAAAATCCCATAAATATTTGGCACAATAAATAAATAGAGTGGTTTATTTCTCAGATTTAAATGTTGTCCTATTTGAAGAAGAGAATTTGGTGCTGATATAATATGAGGTGGCTACCAGCAGGATCAGCATCCTCAGAACTGCTGCTGTGGTCATATGATCCCCATCAACCTAATTTCTTCCTACCAGCTTCCCAGGCTTCCCTATTGATTTGTGGGAATATGTCAGAGAAGATTGTAAATGAGGATCATGTGGCCACAAAAGCAGTGCTGAATAACAGCAGCACAGCAGTACCAAATGACAAGAACTTTCCAGAATTTAATTCCCACTGGAGTGATGTGTCCCAGCATTCTGTAAGTTGGCTCAATTGAGATACCTTGGTTGAAAAGGTGTTTGCCTTATGATGGACCATTTTGGCCACTTAAAAGTTACAGACAGTAAAGTTTTAGTAGTATATAGTACATGTTTATATACTAATACCTAATTCAATGCAAATATTAGCCAGGTTATGACCAACTATGACCATTGCCTAACAAACCATATCAGGAGTCTATCAAAAACTAATTCTACACATTCATTAGATGGCGATCCAGGAGCTACAATCCAATAATGGAATGAGGGACCGAGGTGGACAACACCACAGCTATAAAGTAATTCCAAGTGCCAACCCTTTGTACTGTTTTCCTATAAATTAAAAACTAATCTTTCTCAGATGTATAAGGACAACATTGTATACAAAAGGGGAGGGGGGAGGGGGCACCTCAAGCTATCACAGAATATCCTGTAACACCAAAATCTCTCCCACATGTTTAATACCTATTTTACTAATGTTGACCTGAAAGTAACTTGTGAATAAAACTAAGAAATCTTACAGAGCAGTGCATGGGCATAAATATAAAAGAGCAGGGTTAGAGGGAACTGGGTGCCTGGATATCCAGATAGAGAGACCAAGAATCAGCAGAGATAAATGGAGATATCCTGCTGGATTAGAAGCCTGCAATTGTAGTGATGAAGATTATGCAACATCCTTGACTTGAACCTTCATTAGAAGAACACTATTATACTTCATAGGACTTGCCTAAAGCCAACTCAAGAGAACTGAAATGTGCAATGCTGAACAAAATTATTATTTAATAATGTCTGCGATTTTTGGCAGCAAATAGATAAAAAGATAGGTATATTAGAATCATTTACTGATAGGCACCCACTCATTGTGACTCAGAGGTCTCCCTAATGAGATTACAGTCTGGATGAACCTAGTTCATATTCCAAAATAAGGGAGCTGCCTGAGATGATGAATGGATATAAGGAGCCTGTTGTTATATAAAGGAAAATTAGCTTAAGTTAATGGCTTTGGAAAGAGGCCCATCATATTGCACTAGAGAGATCATCTGGAAAAGTTCCAATACAACAGTTGTATAACAGCCCAGCCTTCAATGAACAGTTCCATCTAATTATTGTGTGCACCATCCTATCTTAGGTAACTTAAGGAATGTTTAAATAATTTATTCTGCTTCTCTTCTACTCTAACCTTTTATACATTTGTGTAGAGCAAGAACACATTCCCCACATTCTTGAGAATACTCAAAAGCTAGAAACAAATAAGAGGTTTTTTTAATGAAGAGCTGAGCTAATATTTACATTCAACAAGTTATATTCACAGAAGAAAAAGCGGGGGGAGGACTTCGGTGCAAATGAAACTCGGCAAGGCATACAAACCTTCTCCACAGCTGTATAACTTATCTTCGTAAGGTGTTCCTGTATATTCAAGCAGCAATCGAATGCTATGGGCAAGCTGTAAAGAAAACAAGCAAACCAGCCATCAGATGGGTGGGGTAGTTTTTCACAAGATGTGTGAAGAGATCTGATGAGAACCCATTGAGGTAAACAGGGCCAAGAAATGGACACAGAGATTTCAAGAATGTTCTTTATTCTTACTGGGTAGAATGACAGGCCAGACACAGTGCTCAGTGGCTAAAATGCTAAGCTTGTTGATCAGAAAGGTCAGCAGTTCGAATCCCTAGCACCGCATAATGGAGTGAGCTCTCGTTACTTGCCCCAGCTTCTGTCAACCTAGCAGTTC